GCCTTTGCATTGGGAAGCCAGCAGGCAAATCTCCTCTCTCATTGGCTTTATCTGCCCTTCATTCCTCCTTTGGCCCTGCTTTTTGCTCATGTCCAGAGACTTTGCCTGAGACTGAGATTAAAGTCAGGGGACTATTTAATCTGGTAGAAGAAATTTCAAGGCAGTCATCTTTTGAGGCTGTGGCACGGCTGCTGTTGGAGGCTTCTAGCCAGATCTATGTTGATAATCAAGAGCAGAGAGCCCAGCAGAGTGATTTAAAATGTGTGTTTGGCTAGAAAGGAAGTTCCAATAAAGCTGCGGGCCGCAAAGATAGAGCTGAGAAGATTCTGATTGCTGAGAAGGAACAGGAGAATAGAAAAGATACCCTGAGGGTATCAGAAGAAGCCTTAAGTCTCCAGCCTTTGTGACCACAGCTGCAAAAGTGAAAGACCTTGCTTTGAGGAGAAGGTCACAGAGCACCATGTTCCAGAATGGCTGCAGCCACGCCAGATTCCAGATGGCACCATTATAGAAAATTTGTTCCTCAGAATTGGATTAAGAATGCTCAGCAATTAAGGCATTAAACCCCTACAGCCAAGAGAAAGGTAAGTCTGAGCTACCGTTCCAGCTGGCAGCGCGTCTTGGCATATTCGCGTGGTGCTGGTTTTAGGTGCATGCAGACTGCAGGAGTTGTGGGGCGTAAAAGGCCTTATGTCAATTTCAGAGGGCCTGGGAGGCCAGGCAGGGTGCCCCTGAGAGGTCAGTCTGTGAAGCTATGAGAAGCTGAAGATGCAATGAAGACATCAAATATTTGGAAAAGCCAGGAGCATGCATCATCTAAGAAAATTTGCAAGGAGGGAGCAAAGCAGGTCTAAGAGAGAAGCCATGGGAGCTGCAACAACCAGAAATTCCATGGGGGTGGTGTCACTCAAGCCCTTGGGAGATCACAACTCAACACAGATTACTCCACTAATCTGGTACTCCATTACATGGAACTACCAGACTTACTGTTTACTCTGCTGGATTCTGGACTTGCTTTGGTCCCAGTCTTTTGTATTCCATTTGTAACTTTTAGAATGAAAATGTTTACCTCATGCCACAGAATGTTGGTAGTGTCTAACTTTCCATTTGGACAGGGGCTTGCAGGTAAGAGTTTACCTTGCATCTCATAGGAGACTCGGGACTTGGACTTTTCAGCAGTGCTAAACCTGTTAGGACTTCAGCATCTCTTTCAGATGGCCTAAATGCCTTTTGCATAAAAGGGCAAGTATGAGTCTTTAGGGGGCCAAGAATGAAATACTATGGATCAAATGTAATATAATACTGATATACTTAATACTGGTTCTTAAAGATTGTTAAGTTGTGTTATAGTGTTCAAGTTGTCAATGATAAGAATAAGCATCAGCCCAAGAAAACTTACCTTCTATTCTGGTGAGGGAATTAGTGCATTTCAATTTGCATGCAAGATAGTTATAATATGTTAGGCATAATTATAAGCACATCTTTTTATCTAGTGATCTATTTAAAGAAATGTGTCTAGTTGCTAAGTTGTCAAGGGGTGGATTGTAATGGTTAATGGGTGTGTCAACTTGAGGAGTTTAAAAGCTTAGCTAAGTCAGTTCTATATCCTGGGGTGAAAAAGACATACCCTTACCACTCTAGGAAGTTGTCCATTGTGTGAACTGGAGAAGTTTAGAAGTTTAAGAGACTCAGCAGAGTGCCAGGGTCCTCAATTTGTAGACATCCTCATCCTTTGCAAGAGGGCATAGAGATGGTGTGAATGCTATGCCCACTCTAGGGGGTGGCAGCCTGCTTACAATATAAGGGAAGAAAATGAGGCTTACTTCTCCCTTTTCTGCTTTTTTTAAAATTTTTGCAGTCTTCTGTCATCTTTAACTATTGCCCCTCACCATGCCACCATGCCTTGGAGCCAAGTGATTTCTGACTAAAACTTCTATAAACTGTAAGCTAAATCAACCTTTTCTTCTTTAAGTTTGAGTGTTGGGTATTTTGTCTCAGCAATGAGAGAAAAGTAATCAAGACACCCTCCCTCCTTTCCTTCTCTGCTAGATGGGTTCAGGCTCTAGCTGCGGATTCTCTACCCATTCATCTTTCTACACCATCCTAGCTCAGACCCCTGGTTGTCCTTGAAGATATCTCACTTAGCACTGTGGCCTCCATTTACCTCTGCCAGTGTTGTAAACTTAACCTCTAATATATATTTTTTTTAATTTGGTTACATTTTTTTTTAACCATAACTGTAGCACATTCTTTTCCTGAATTTTGAAATCAAGTAACTACAATAAATAAAATGTACCCTGTCATGGAGAGACAGAACTTTCTGGAATCTTCTGGGACAGGAAAGAAGAGGGGAAGTGATGAAGCACGCGAAGTCCTCAGTCTACCCTGGCCTTACCATCCAGTCACAAGCAAAGATCTGGACAAAGCCGAGAAGCGCTTCTTGCTCCAAAGTAATTGAAAGTCTCCTCTAGTCTTTCCTACTATGTGTTCCATACTCTCCACAGCTAAGCTACACTGTAGGGAAAACTTTGCACTCTGATTCCTCAAATTTTCTCTTTAAATTATGTAGACAGTAAATATTTCCACTTCCGCGATGTAATCCTGTGGTTTTTGATGCATAACATGCTCTTAAGTGGCTTGGGTCTAATTTTCTTGACATTTTCCCTCTTGTAAATGTTAGTTGCTCCTAATTTTTAGCTAACATTTGTTGTTTGCACTTTAGTTGATTTGGGATTCTATATGAGAAATGAAGAAGCCAAGAGACGAACACAGACCCCATCAGCCAGCCAGTCCTGAGTGGGCCTCTTGGCCCAGCAAGAGTACGAATCATGAGCTTTTCTCTCTTGAGTAATATCTACAACCAGGCAAGCTACTGAGTCGCTGCGTTAGTCTGTGTTCTGTTGCTATAATGAAATATGTGAGGTCAGAAAACTTGTAAACAAAAGAGGTTTATTGGACTCAGTATAGGAGGCTGGAGGTCCAAATAGCATGGCATCAACTCTTCTGGGGTGCCTGTAGACTCCATCACTTCTTAGCAACCAGCCTCCTAGTGGGAAAACCTGTAGGAGGAAGGAATCACATGGAAGACAGGAAGCCAGAGACCAGAAAGGGGATAGTCAAGAGCTCCCACCAGGGTCATCTGGTAACTTCAACACGCAAAGGGCCACACAATCAACAGATGAGCCCTGGGCCAACACACTCCATCGCAAGGGATCCGTGCAGAAATGCAGAATTCACAGGTGGCTCCACAACCAGCTGAGCTTTCCCAAGCTGCTCCCCGCACCATTCCTGCTCCGGATGGGCCTGTCACATCCCACTCAGCGGGCTCTGCACCAGTGACAGCCACCAGGTAGGGTTTTCTCTTCTCCTGAGCCTGAGCCTCAGCAAGCAGCTGTCAGGGAGTTGAGTAAGAGCTGCTGGGACTTGGGGTCACTGATGGGTATGGGCACCATAGGGCTGAGGTGACCTACCCAGCTGCCGGCCTCTTCAAATTTCAGTCTCTTCACCAACAAAATGGGTCTGATAAAAACCTGGGGAGCTTTTGCGCAAGCAAAATAAAGCATGGAAGGCCTGGCCTTTGCTCCACTGTCCGACCACTCATGGAAGTGAACTCAGGGCATCATCCCCATCTTATCTTAACAAAAATAAGAGCTAAACAGAATAAAGTCCATGATCAAAACAAGCTACGAGATCAAGACAAACAGACCTTTAACCTGTTGCACCCAGCCTGAGTCTTCCTGGGCCACCATACTACCCAGGCTTCCCAGAGCCACCTGCACTCCCAACTATTCCTTTTATTTTCTCTTTGAGACAGGGTCTCACTATGAAATCCAGGCTGGCCTTAAACTCACCACATAGCCCACACTGGTCCAGATCTTGCAAGGATCTTCCTGCCCACCCTGCCCAGTGCTGGGATTACAGGCGTGCAGCAGCGCTCCAAGGTCTCTGAGCCAACGTGTTGGTGCCCCAGATGAACACACACCGCAGAGAAACGCGAGGGTCCTGGAGTTCAAGCCAAATCACCAACAGCGATGGGGGCTAGTCCCAGGCCGCTGAGTTGTACCCTACTGCTTCCAGCAACAAGGCCATGGTGCACCGGGACCCCATGCATACACACTGTACGTGCATGATCTGTTGGGCTCTGCCTGACATGCTCCTGGAGTTCTGAGCTTGCTTTTTGTTTGAAATTTCACCAGATTAAAAAAAAAAAAAATCTGAGTTTCAATGGGCTAGGGTCTGCAGGTGGAAAGTGGACCTTCTTTGGCCAGCAGGTCAGCCTAACACCTGCCCTCAGTGTCTGGGAGCCCTGGGGGGGGGGGTGCTCCAATCCCCCACCCGCCGGACAGGAATGCGCCCTCTGCTGTGGCGACTGGGAAATGAGCCTAGGGCTTGCTCAGCTATCCTCCCGCAGGCCCCTCTCCTTGGGCCAAGGGAACCCTCAGGCGCGGCCAGTAGGAGGATGTGCATGGACGAACCAATTGCCTTCCCTGGTCCTTTCGGATGGAGGTGGGAGGGCTCTGAATGCCCTTCTCTGGCCTTGGTTCTTCCCTAGGTCCTTATCCAAGTGCCCCGCGCTGCGCGAACTGCTGCATAGGGACCCAGGCACCAAGGTTCACAGGGAATCCATAAACAGGTTGCTGAGCACCTTTCCCCTCTGGATTGGTCTAAGTGGGTTATGTGGGGTCTGAGACTCGGGATGCGGGACGCATGAACCAGGATCTGGGGCACGAGGATGCAGCAATACTTCGGAGACCCCCACTAGCGAGCAAAAAAGGCCCCGTGCTCTTCCCCCACCTGGTCCCTGTACTCCCACCCAAGCTTCGGAACGCTGCAGGCCCGGCGCGCGCCGCTGTCGCCCCCAAGCGGTTGAGCACGTCGCAGCGGGAACCCGCGTGGGGGTGGCTCAGCTCGAGCAGCCGGCAGCTCCGCCCCGCACTCCCCCCACCTCGCGTCCCGCGTGCCGCCCCCTCCGCGCCGCTCTCAGCTCAGACGGAGCCGCCGCCTCTGCAATGTCAGCAGGCGCAGCGGCGGCGACACGAGCGGCAGCGGTCCGGGCCCTGCGCTAGCCGGCTTCACCGCACGGCCCGGCCCGGCAGGCGTGAACGCGCGAGCCCGCGGCCCCCAGCTACTCAGGGCGCCGGCTCTGCGCGCCCCTGCCCGGCCCGGCGCGGCTCTCGGTCTCTGGCCCGCCCGGCTGCGGCCGCGCACAAAGCACCACGGACACCGGGAACCGGGCTGCTCCCGCCGCTCATCCGTGCGCCCGTTCCTCACCCGCACGGCTCGTTGTGACCGCGGGGACGCCGCCCGCCAGCGCCTGAGCGGTCCGCGCCTCTGCGCCACGGCCACCGGTACCGAGGGTGGCCCGCGCCGTGCGCACTGAGGGGTCGCCGGTCGCTGCCGCCCCTCACGCCTCGGGGACGGGAGCCCGGGGCAGCCCCGCGCCGGCCCGTGCCTAAAATGGCCACGCTGCTCCGCAAGATCGGGCTCATCCGCCTGCACAACCGAGACACCGAGGACCCCAAGCACCACCACAACCACCGCGGTGGCGGCGGTCAGCAGAGCGCGTCGCTGCGCGGCAAAGGCGGCGCCAAGAGCGGTGGCCACAAGCAGGCGCCGCACCCCGGGGGCGCGGGCGACGCCAGCCCCGGGCCCGGCAAGGGCAAAGGCAAGCGCGCAGCGGAGCTGGCCCCGCGCGACAAGCAGCCACAGCCACCGGGGGCTGCCGGCGCGGCTGGGGCCTCGGGTGCAGGGGGCCCCCGGGAGCGGGTGGCGGGCGCCAGGGCGGGGCCCGGGCCCGCGGTGGCCGCGGCGGCGACAGCGGGCAGCAGCCTGGTGCCCGCGGCGCGGCAGCAGCACTGCACGCAGGTGCGCAGCCGGCGGCTCATGAAGGAGCTGCAGGACATCGCGCGCCTGAGCGACCGCTTCATCTCGGTGGAGCTGGTGGACGAGAGCCTCTTCGACTGGAACGTGAAGCTGCACCAGGTGGACAAGGACTCGGTGCTGTGGCAGGACATGAAGGAGACCAACACCGAGTTCATCCTGTTGAACCTCACCTTCCCCGACAACTTCCCCTTCTCGCCGCCCTTCATGCGGGTGCTCAGCCCGCGCCTGGAGAACGGCTACGTGCTGGACGGCGGCGCCATCTGCATGGAGCTGCTAACGCCGCGCGGCTGGTCCAGCGCCTACACCGTGGAGGCCGTCATGCGCCAGTTCGCCGCCAGCCTGGTCAAGGGCCAGGTGAGGAGACGCTGGGTCCGGGCCGGGCAGGGGCGCAGCACCGCGGGCAGGAGGGCGAGGGCGAGGGCTGCCCCTCCCATCTGCTCTCCTAGGCTCCGGCCGTGCTGGTGGGGCGGCCGCTGAGCACACACATCGCTCCAAACCGCGCCTGTCTTTTTACCCTAAAGGGTTGCTACCCTCCTTTGCTTCTCCATCGTCCCTGTGGGTCCCAGCCTGGCTCTGGTGGTGTCCCTGGGCCCAGTGATGCACCATTCTCTTTCCCTTTCCTGGTCTGTCTTCGCCTCTTTTTCTCTCCCCTTCCCTTTCTCTCCTTTCCCCAACATTCTCCCCCTCCAAAATTCTCCCTCTGCTCCTCTGTTTCCTCCTCCCATCTCCCTGGAGCCCCTTGCTTTCCCTTCTCCCCTGCTCCCCCACTCTCCTGGTCCCTCTTCTCTCCTCTACCCCTGTGTCCTCAACCCACCTTCTGGCCCTGCAGCCTCTGAAGGTGGGAACTATCCATGTAGATCAGGATCTAAGTGTCCACCCTAGTGTCACACACACACACACACACACACACACACACAAAGGTTTCCTCTGCAGACCTGGGGTGGGGGGAGTTGGACAGCTGCCTGCTGTGAGCTCTTGCCTCTGCACCCTTCTTCGGTGAGATGAAAATTGTTCTCTTAAGAAATCTCTCCATAGAGGCAGAGTGGTGGGTTGAGCCGTTCTGTGAGGGCCAGTGCCAGACTCCATCCAGGCATCCCTCCCTGGAGGCCTCCCTTCCTGGTGGATAGTTGTCCCCTCCTGGGTCATCACTTCTGCGGTAGATGCCAGAGCTTGGTCTCTCTGCAACCTCCTTTCTTGCTTTTGTTTCCATGTCCCCTGGGGCAGGGGCATTTATCAGAGCTAAAGATTTTAACTAAACACCCAGAGGCAGGCTAAGCAGATCCGTGTCTTCTCACCTACAGCCCCTGGGTGCAGCTTCAGGGAAAGAAACCCCAGAATCTGAATGCATTCTCAGAGATCAAATCTTGCCCGGCTGTAGGCTGGGGCAGGATGGATCTATCTTCCCATGTGTTCTTGACAGTGTTCAAATTCCATGATGTTCTCCTGACTCAGTATTAAGCCCTACTTACGGAGATTACATTTCTGTATGAGCACCTTTGAGAGTTATAGAGAACCCTTGTTTTCTTTAAGAGACCAGGCATGATCTCCGGTTGGTCTTTCTACAGCCAGCTTATCAGAAGCGATCGGTTCCTCCCCTGCCTGTCTCTGTCCCTTTCACTGTGGGATGCTCCACACTAATCAAATGATGCTCGTTCTGCCAATTTCAGCAGAAGTAGGACCCCTGGGATTCCAAACACGTAGCCCCTCCCCGCGCCCACAGAGAAGGTCACTTCTTTCTTGCACTGTCCTGCCAGTCCGTTTTTTCTTGGTTTCGGGTATGGCCCGTTTCCAGAGTTGGCAGTAGGATGGATGTGACCGCTCTACGAGGACTCCTTCAGCTGGGGAAGGCTCTAGCATCAGCATCCTTCTTCCCCTCCTGAAACCCTGGCTCCAGCACAAGGCGCATGGGATCGGACATAAGCTGGGGAGGGAGAAGGGGGGCGAGGTCTCGGTTTAATTTTTCAAGCAGGACTTATTTAAATGATGTGGAAGAATATGCCCCTTGCCAATACCTTCGTTATTTGTTTCTTGAGTCGTTGCTAAAGGGGTCTCTTTGGAGGAGCCTGCCCCTGATTCCTGCCCTTCCCAACAGAGATGACTTTGGGATCAAGGAAGAGGAGTGTAATTATGCCTTCCAGAGCCACAGAAGCATAGCATTAAGGCTTACAGGAGAGCTGGGACGAGGTCATTTATTCTGGAAGATTCAGGGAAATATCTGTGTTAAGTGGAAATGAGAAAGTTGTTTTCTAAAGAGACGTGGTTTTACTGAATTAAGTGTCTTTCCATTTTTACATGAATGCCATGAATAACAGTGTCATTGGTGCCTGAATACTTCTATTTAAATGGACAGGTCTTGGGGCATATGTTCCAAAATCAAAAGCCATGGGTTAACTTTGTAAGGTAGACTTCGTGACTGAAAGCAATGATCAACACTTTTATTTATTAACTTGACTTTAAAAAAAAACACTTATTTGGACCCAGTTCCTTCCATCTACCCACCAAATACGGGAAAGGATGGTAAAATCTCAGCACTTTGTTACTCTGTATTTTCTATACTGGTTTCAGCATAGAGGTCTCCAAGAGAGTGATGTGGGTATGACACACACAAAATATTCAAAATGCGATGAAAGAATTGAAGAACTGAAGAGTAGTTAATGTTTCAGGGTTCCACGCACAGGAGGGTCTGGTAGTGTGTCAGGTAACCTAAGCGTTGTTCTGTTATTCTGCCTTTTCCTCCTCTGGTGACTTCGTGACTCACAGATTACTTGGTGCCCAGAGGGCAGCTACCAAATTATTTGCACAGCTCAAAGTGAAGTGCTTGGGAAACACAATCAAAGTACCTGATTAGATATTCAAAGAGAACCAGGAGTGCTGCCAGACCAACAATGACTTTAAAAGAGAGAGTTGTTAGATTCCAGTTGTGTGACTCTGGATTTCCTTTTTTAGGAATCATTTTCTTAAGCTGTAAAGTAGCAAAGGGTTTGTTTGCCTCTTTCAAAGAGGAAAGCACTCTCTGCTTGACTGGACTTCTTGAGTAGAAAAGCTGCCACTACTCCCCCTTTAGATAAGCCACAGAAAATTTTAATTCCTTCTACATGTAACATTATGAAAACATCTGCATATGTAACAGTTTTGGACACAAAATGAAAAGTTGAAGTTCATTACATGATATGGAAAAGTCAAATCACTTCACTTCATGAGGATTTTACCAGAGGCATATCTGTCCTGTGTTAAAAATTGGTATAATGATGTGTTAGGAATTGTGGTTGTTTTAAATGAATATATAAATGTCTTATATGATATGCCTTCTGTAGAAATGGAAAGGTAAGTCTCTGGCCTGTGTTTCTATGGCTATGCTTGCTTTTAATTAGATGAAGGTATTGTAGGGAGCCCTTTTAGTCCTCTAGTTGCATGAGAAATTCTTGGACCTTTAAAACGAGCCAGTGAAGATGCTGAAAGTATACTTGGAGGAAATCGTTGCATTCTTTATCATTTACTGAGCTGAAAGAATACAGTGGATAGCTCCTCGGTGGGAGTTCTGACACACAGAGCTGTAAGATGGGGCCGGAGGTTTATCTCAACAATAGAGTGCTAGCCCAGCATTTGCACAGCCCTGGGTTCAATCCTCAGCACTGGGGGAAGAAAAAAGAAAGCATAACATTTTTGCCTAAAAATTAAAGGGAACTGAAACACTAGCTCAGCAGTGCTTGCATTAATCAATAGTATGATGTACAAAAACTGGTTTTGTGAGATGAAGCTAAAGGAACCAGTGCTGGTGCAGCAAGGCTCCGGCCGGGAGGCACCCTGGGCTCGCTGGCAGCCCCCCCCAGCCCCCAGCTGTGGAGCGCTGATGCTAGCACACGTGCCCGCAGCCTGTTTTGGCAGCTTTATGAGCAGCAGGGTCCAGAAAAGCCACTTCAGTGTGCCCTGACTTGGGGCCCCGCTTTGACACCTGCACACCTCCCAAGTGTCCCCCTTCTTAATTAACTGGACATCGCCGGTGGCAGGGAACCAGATGGCAGCTCAATGCCAGTTCCTTGTCCCTCCCCTGGCCCTGCAGCACTAACCATACAGCCTGGCGTGGGCATGAGGGTGATGGGAATAGTGACAGAAGCGGCAGCTCATCCTCCTGCGAGTCCTGGGGCAGGGGAGCCACAGCACGTGGGGAGCTACTTGTCCCCAGGGGCCTGCTCTTGCCACCGTCATTGTCCAGGGGACAAAACTGCATGCTGAGGCCTCAGGTCCCTGCTACAGCTTCGCATTTTCCGAACAGCTCATCAGCTTTGGCGGCTGGATTCTGAAAACCCATCAGCGGGAGCAGAGCTGTTGGGAAGGAGCTGTCTGCCACCTGGGCACCTGCTGCTTCCTGGCGACTGCTTATTAATGGTGACCTGCATGATAATCATTGCATCTGCAGAGAAAAGACCCACAGCCAGTCGGCAGCAGGAGCCAAAATAATGTGACAGCACCAAAATGTCCCCCAGTCTTAGTGTTTGAATTAAGATTGCTACTCAGCTGTGGGACAGTGACGTTTGCCAACAGCCTTAGCTTGTGGAAGTTCACAGATAAATGGAAGCAGCTGATGTCAGTGCTTATCTGCTTGCCATGCTACTGTGTAGGGCCATGTGGCTCAGCAGCATTCAGTGACGAGGTCCAGCGCTGAAGGGCACTGCAGAGTGGACCATGGTCCACCCCGGCCTGTCACTGAGCAGCTTACTAGAGCTTACATGCATGCACATGCATGCACATGTGCATGCATAAGTGAAACCCTTCTGGACAATGTTTTCTGCAGTCCAAGGCCCAGAGACACTACCTCACTGGTGGCTACATGAGTGCTGCATGTTATCACAGAGGAATAGAAAGGGCCAGCCCCTGGCACTCCTAAATTCTGTGTGTCCACCCACCAGAACTGACACAAGCATGTTGAAAACACTCTTACTTTGCTAAAGTTGCTGTAAGAAAGTCTCAGAGATCATGTGGCTCAGAAGACAGAAGTTTGTGTTCTTGAGGTTCTAGAGGCTAGATGTCAACGCTGACAGTGTGGCAGGGCTGGCTTCCTAGGCTTTTAGCTGACACCGCTCCCTGCGTCTTTGCTTGGTCTCCCTCTCTATGACTGTTCTTTCTCCCCTCTTCTTTCTGGATCCCCAGTGGTAGCCACTGTCTCCAGATAAGTCATAGTGTGGGGCATTCAGGGTTGGCAATTCGGCATAAAAACTGGGGGAAGGAGACACACATTTCAAACCCATAAGCAGCACAAACCAGAGTTGATTAACCACATCCCCATCCTGCTTCTCCGGAGATCCAGTGCTGACTTGAAGCAACATGAAGGAAGCAGGGGGCCGATGGCAAGTCGT